AAGGGTTCAGGAACGCACAGCTAGTGCACTCTGTATCCAAACAAAAACAGGGATAAGGAAATGAGCAAGCCAACGAGCCCTTTCATGTGAATGGATGATTTATTGTGCTTCCAACATTTTAAGTAACCCTCTGTAGTTCAGTTCGGTTGTCGAGAAATAACTGAGAGCTTAAAATAAACTTCTTTGTTTGGACGAATCAAGCTTTTCTAACAACAATTATCAATTATTAAATATTGATTATAAACTCTTTGAAAGCTGATAAACAGAACAGCGCCTAATAAATTTTTGGAATGAATTTTTTTTATTCTAGATGCCAACCAGAAAGTTCCTTATTGACACAAATTCTGAACACACTGGCTTGTTAGCAACCCTTCGAATCATCCTGTAACAAGACAAAAGACTTGATTTGTGAATTCCTTAGTTGCAATTTTTTTTTTTTTAATTTTCATCAAATCATATACCAAAATAGAAATTAAATAGGTTAAACCACTCATGAAATTTTCACAAAGATATAAGATTACATTAGGAGAGAGTTTAATAATGTCATCACACACATTCAGTAATTACAGCTGCGATGCATATAAAGCCAAATCATATGATCAATATAAGATACGAAAGTACTTTAATTAACTACTCCCTTCTCTTCATAAGTTTGCTTGTAAATTACCCCATTATGGATGACATCCTTTTTCTTGTGAAGAATCCCTCCCTGTTAAAGTTTCCCGGTCCATAAATTGAATAAAAGATCTCAGTAAGAATCTGAGATTGCAATGACCAAAAGACGACGACCGGAATGCTGGCGAGCAAAACTAGCGAGGAGATTACCCGCCATCGATCCTGTAACATTATAGAAACAGCAGCACAAAAAGCTACCATCATTGTTGCAACAGAAATGAGGAGCGTGAGAATGCCGACAATCAACTTAATAAAATCTTTTTCAGTGTAGGGATATGTGAGGATTCCTAAAAACGTCAGCGCTGAAGTAGACGCAGCGAACAGAGAAATTGCATCTGACATTATATATGTCAAAAATAATCTTTTATGTGAGAACATGGGATAGCCATTTCCATTGTTACCACCGGGAATGGTGAAGGCTGCAGCAAACATAATAGTGATGATGAGGGTACCAACTATAATGTAAGATTTTGCTGTTTTCTTCATCCATGCTTCAGCTTCTTTTAACAATTTCATGTGTTCCCTGGTAAACACTTGCCGAGGAGTTTCTCCATTGTGATTCACCCAGCTTTTACACTCCGGAAAATTAGACTCAATTTCCTGCGTCAATTCATAATTAAATTAAGCTATTCACCTCTTCTTCGAAGAAGAATCAGAAGAAAAAAAGCAATTGTAAGCTACTAAATACTTTTACTCAATCAAATTAATAAAGGAAATAATTATAAAATGCCATGATATATATAAATTTTGCGTGGTTGATGAAAAATCAAATATAAGCTAACTGACTACGTACCTTGAACCATTGTAATTCCTTTTGCATTTGAAGGGCTGCACCTGAAAATTGAGCAAGATAAGACTCGGGACCTAGCTTTGCTGCTATGTGAAGCGCATTGTTGCCATCGTCATCTGTCAATGCGGCCAAAATACGTTCCTTTCCCGGGCTAAATTCGCGAAAATACTCCTCTTGACGACATTCGATTGCGTAAGTGAATGCGAACTTAGTCTTTCCATCAATGGGGCAAAACATTACATCCGGATTAGTTTCTTGAATTTTGAAAAATTCTTTTATGCCATGCTGGATAGATTGGAAGAAAGCTGGGACGATTCTACTGTCAACCACTTGTTTCGCATTCAATTTCGATAATTCACCAGCTATGAAATCCAGAATATCAAAGGCACATGAATGGATCAACTTCCGTTCGTAAATGTAAGCGATACCTGCATGCGTATCCCCAAACTAATATCAATATATATACCATATGCGAACCAAAGGTGTATCCGTATATATAAATTCTAACAAACTTAATGTTTAAAGTTTGAAATGGATGGAGAGAATCATCTTCTACCCTATGGATCATTATAATAAATAATTAATTTAGAGAAAGAATTCATGAAATTAAAAAAGCCACATACCCAAAAACTTTTGGAGCATTGAACTAAATCCACATTTGCCCAAAAAAAACAAACTCAATCCATGTTGTTGACGACGTCTTAGCTCTGCAATATATCAACTCCATTCTCATTAGATATGCAATAATATGCCAAGTATTAATAATTAATAATTTTCAGCATGCTACTTTAAATGGTTAATTATTGACTTATTTGTTAAAACAAATTAGACTTATATGTGTTAAAAAAAAAGGATTGACCTATTTCAAACAGCAATTGATATAAGCAATTAAAGAAAAAAATAATAATGTTTTGTGTCTTGAATTTTATCGTGGTTGTGTGTGAGTAACTTCAAGAAGAAAAGTTTGGAGCTAGTTTATTGGATTTTGGTATGGGTAACTCACTTCACTAATATAATAACCGTACTCTTGATTAGTGATTTTTGTTTTATTATTATTATTATTATTATTATTAATTTATTATTATTTATTTATGATTTTACGTAATCAATACATACGTTGCTTAGTGAAGACTAGCGCCTCTCTTCACCTTCTCATAGTGATCAGCACTCTCTGCTTCCTAGCAAACGAAGCCTTTCTTGCCCACGGCAATTTGGGGAGAATAAATAAAAGGTGAGAATGCTTCCTCTTTTTTTTTTTTTTCTTTTTTTTTTTTTTTTTGAAGATTTTTCAACCTAAAAGAGTGTTCTTTTTTTTTTTGGACCAGCTTTCTTCAACCATATTCTCAATTTTTGTAAAAAACTTAATTGAAATATACGTGAGACTCACATTAAAATAATAAAGAACATATGTTGA